TGTCCATGACGTCACCGGACTCCTCCCCCCTTCATTAGCCGACGGAGCCACTTGGGTCGGTGAGTTTGCCCAAGAAACTTTCTGCACGAGCTCCAGCCAAGGCATTGGTCTATACACATACAGCACAGCAATGAAGTAATAAAATGAACTAGGATCACACTAATCCAGCACGTTATTATTCTGAGTTGCCCCACTCAAGCGGCGGCCATATTGAGTGGGGCACGTGAGATTAATAACGTGCTGGATTAGTGTGATCCTAGTTCGTTTTATTACTTCATTGCTGTGCTGTATGTGTATAGGCCAATGTAGTTGGATCTGTATGTGCGTTATAATTGATGAAAAAAAAATTATGATTAATCGAACACGAAAATGTTAATCATTGCCAGCCCTTATATATATATATATATTGGTTATGCTGTGTGAATAGGAAGTTATAACAAACATATAGAGGGTTTTTCTCAAATTTGACTGCAAGTGTAAATACACTGTTAGCTACTCCTGTTATGGACCCATCCATTTCCTGCCTCAAAAAAACCTTAACAGTCCCTGTTCAAGGGCCCTGTAGACAAGAGATTGAAGCCCTCTTTAAAACCTTATTCTATTTGGCTGGTCTTGCTGTGCAACCTGCTGTCGCAAGCATGTCTGTCTGCCAGACCCTTGCTATCTGAAATAAGTGCTTGGTTTAGTACCCCCAGATCCATTTGTCTGCCAGCACCTAGAGCTCCTACCTGTGGCCTTGCGCTGCAGCCTAAATGGATCCATCCACAGGTGTTCCAAGTAGGTGTTGACCATTGTCATCAAGTCCAGGGATCCTCGGCCCTTCACAGCAGATGCTCTGGTGACAATATGGTGTAAGTTTAGCCTGCTCTATATACCCCACCGCTCCCCAAGCTTCTCACTTGTCTTCAGGATCAAAATGTAGGGCATTCTTATTGCACCAAACTGATCCAGGAGGATCTGGTATACAGTCCTAATTCAAACATTCCATGGGCCTTTCCAGCCCTTCTGTCACAAGTGCCAGATCACCGTCCTGCCTCTCAGTCGCTGACTTTAATAGCTTAGCTGTTTAAGCCCAGATCCTAAGGCTAAGAAGTTGATTTCTCACAAAATTTACCATTGTACCTGGAAAGTTTACTTTGCATTGTGTGAGACTAGTAAATTCAATCCTTGGAAGTACTCCGTGGGACCAATCCTGCCGTTTTTCCTAGTGCTGTCTGGATTAACATCTGGTCTTGAGCACCATCATGTGTCAAATCTCAGCCCAAGCTATTCTGTTTCAAAGACCACTTGCTGCTTACTCCTTAGTTAAGGCTTTTGTTAAGGGTGTTGTCTACATTTCTCCCCCTATATGCGCCCAACCTCGTTCTCTCGGATAAGGCAACCCTTTGAACCCATCAGGGGCTTTCCCTTATCTCACCCCACTTACAAGGGTGGTCACCTTGTTGCAATCACCTCCGCAATGTGGGTCTCTGAGTTAGTTGCCTTATCCTGTAAATAGCCTTTCATAGTGTCACACAGGAATAGGGTTGTCCTGAGGCCACCTTTCTCCCCAAGATGGTTTCCTCTTTTCACTTTTAACAGCACATTGTTCTTCTCTGTTCGACTCTACTTCTGTTTCTGCTTCCTTTTGGCAATGGCATTCCCTTGTCCTTCCCAAAGGTTATTGTGGAAGGCTTCTTGCCTTGCTCCAACATTGGTAGGTGGATTAGACAAGTTATCAGTCAACCTATAATCTAAAGTGTCCCTCCCCTGTTAAGGCACACCCTACCAGAACTGATAGAAGCCTGATGCTGAAAAGCCCATCATGCACTACTTCCCAGATTTGCAAGGCTGCCACCTCCTATTCACACATTTTAAATCTACCAGGTGGATGTTTAGGCCTCATCTGATGCCAGTTTTGTGTGTAATGTGCTTTAAGCTTTCATGAGTTTAAGTCCTCCTTGAATCATTGTTACGTGGGCCTTTAGTGTTTTCTGTGTTCCCATCCCTCAGTTGGGTTGTTTTTGAAAATCATGGTTAAGACCTAAGGTCCTTTGTCCTGTACTGTATGCTTTAGAAAAGAGAATTTTTTACCTGCCTGTAAAATTATTTTTTTGGAGTACAGGACTCAGACCTCCCCTCTGTTCCCTTTAATCTTCCTATTGTTTGCTGGGAGTGGAAAGCATTATACTAGGGCTGTCCTTTCAGCTTTTTTTTTTTTGGCCACTGTCCACTCACCTCATAGTGTCAGTATAAGACAAGTTTAAAACTAAGATCTGGCGTCCTTTATTATATACCAAAAGAAGGGTTTTACAGGTAAGTAAAAAATCCTTTGTTTCCACTTTGCTGCTTTTCATGGAAATATGGAACCACATGCAACATCTTCAGGTGTGAAAAAAACAAAACACTCCACACCTTCTTTTCTTAAACCTGAGCTTCAGGATCACTTTTAACCTTTGATCCCTCTGCCCTAGGACAAAAACATTTTTATTTTTTTTTAAATCATGTCTTCCTTTTACATTTGTCAAAGTTTTTTCTTTCATGTGACATCATAACTACCTTGTTGCCTATTTACAGTTAATCCCAGTTATACTGGATTTTCTTCAAGAAGGAATTGAGAAAGGATTATCACTTAGCACCCTGAAAGTTCAGATTTCAGCTCTTTCAGTATTTCTTGACAGTACAAAGCAGACAACACATGTCAAATCTGGTGTGCGCTGCTAGGGGAAAATGAGAACTACATTTCCTATAATACTAAGGGAAATTAATGATGTAGGGGTTGGTGGCTGATGCTTGATTGTAAGCTGTACGCAGGTCTCGCCTCGGTGCTGTGTAAAGATAGCACCTGCTTAAAGAGGAAATATGTAACCACTCTGCTGTGAACCACCAGGGTGAGTTGGTGTGACCAGAAGCCATTTCTTCATAAGGAGAAAGCAGCAATGCCTGCTCACACAAACAGAAAATCATCAGACACAGCAACATTGAGGAACCTGTTTGGGGGATAAATTATATATGAAAAAAATCGAAATGTCTGATGTTTTTGCAACATTAAAGTCAAATTTCCCCCACCCCATGTTAATGTTAGCACTTACCTTAAATGATGTCTCTTATTCCGATCATCTTCTTCTTTCCTGATGTTTTCATCTGTCCCTCCAGCTGTGCGGCGGCTCTCCGATCCAGCGCTGACTGCTCTGTCGCTCCGATCCAGCGGTGTCTGCATGCGGGTGCACGCGTCCATAGACTTACCTTGCGTCCCTGCTCGTCTCCCGGCCGAGAATCGGATCTGCTCATGCGCCCGCCCCAAAATCCTTTGCGGCCGTACGAGCAGTTCCTGATTCTCGGCGCGGGAGCGCGCAGCGATAACGAGGTAAGTTTAAACCTAGTTAAAGCGTTTTTAAAAAAAACTTCTTGCCTATATCTACTGCTTGCTAGCAGTAGATATAGGCAAAAAAAACCGGAGGGTTTAGAACCCCTTTAAGGCGAGTACCTCTTTCATGGTGTTAAAATCCTCCTGGCTGCAGTCCAGCTTTAAAATAAATATGCAGGTTGCCATTGCTGACTTTTGAAAATGCTAGTTACCTTTCATGCTGATCATCATGTCTGATGTACTTTCTAAGACACTGACTAGGTTCAAAGTCAGTGACTCCAATATTGAAGCCAAGAAACTAACAATTTCAGAAGGACTTTGAAAATGACTCTCGATTTCTCTCAATACAGTTTAAAGTGAATTAAATATGTAAGTTGCAAGCTATTTATATATGTGCATTCTTAAAAACCTTATATCTAACCTTTTTATATCTTTATATTCTAGATAATTCCTCACAGCTCATTAGAAGGGGGATGAGTTGCCACTTCATATGTGGAAGGAGTAACCAGATTAAAGGGCCAGGCCTGAAGATCTTTCACAAGGCTTTTTCATTATCCCTAGCATATAAAAATGGGTATGAGAATCAAACTTAACAGCAGAGACCACCCCAGCAACCTGCTACGTGAGCTGAACCAATCACGGTTGTCTGGAACATTTTGTGATGTTAATATCGTTGTGGGAAATAGGTCTTTTTCTGCTCATAAAGCTGTACTTGGCTCTGCGGCTGCTTATTTTCAAAAATTATTCTTAAACGCTGATTTGGATATAGCTAGAACTTATGTGGTGGATTTCATAACCCCAACTAATTTTGAGAAAGTCCTGAGCTTTATCTACACTTCAGAGCTTTTCACTGACCTGATTAATGTGGGGGTGATTTATGAAGTTGCTGAGAAACTTGGCATGGCAGACTTGATAAAGGCATGTCACGCAACCTTTCCTGATCTAGAGGGCTCTTCAGGACACAAGAATCAGTGCTCGGTGTCCTCCAGTGAAGGACGTTCAGGTGCTTTAAGTGTTGCTTCAACAGAACATTATCAAACTGAGTGCAAGGGCAATGGAGTGGACAACCATCTTCCACCTACAGAAAAAAATTATAGTGCACAGACAGATGTATCTGGTTCCTTGAAAGGAGAAGAACATGAGGCTAATATAAATCAAACGGCACACTTTCCACTAACAGCAAAAACAGAGGAGCAAAGTTCTTCAGCAAAGTACCAGTCCTCGCACTGTGCAATGAACACTGGATTTGGTCCAACAAGTACCTGCCCTCCCTATAAAACACAGCACAATGGGGACTACAACAAAATTGGCTACTTTCCAGGGGATTCCTCTGCTAGTGGAAATTCCAAGGAGTCTGCTGGAGGTTTTGAAGCTATGGGTGATCTCCAGTTGGAGGATCTGGAAGAGGAAACATTGCAGTTTGACGAGGCAGGAGATGAAGACTCTGGTCCTTCTGGAGAAATTATTGAACTGAGCGATGGTAGTGAAGACGAGCTGCTTTTGTTTGGGCAGGCAGAAAATCAAAGTGGTAAAGCTATGCCTTGTCAAGTGTGCAAGAAAGTGCTGGAACCCAATCTACAGCGTATTCGCCAGCATGCCCGAGAACATGTAGATCTAGTTAAAGGCAGCTGCAAAGTTTGCCAGGCTCGATTCCATGACCGTGGTGCTATGATTACTCATGTCTTATCACATATTGGTATCTTTCTCTTTAGCTGTGATATGTGTGAAGACAAGTTTTTCAGCCAGTGGCAACTTACCCTCCACAGAGGACAAGAAGGTGTTACCTCAGAGCATAACATAATTGTTCAACCAGGTCAGCCTCTTCCAGGGGAAGTCAACACGTTTGTGGGAGCACTAGGTACTGAACTTCAGTGTGGCGCCTGCCACAGGACCATGTTACGTGATTTCCATTCTGTGCGGTCTCATGCGTTGGATCACCTCAACAACAAAAACCTCTCTTGTGGACTATGTGATCATAGGCACTTAACACTTTGTGGTCTCATGTGGCATGTTTTGTCACATATGTCCATATCTGTTTTCTCTTGTTCTCTCTGTGCTAGCAGCTTCCTTGACCGCCATTTGCTGGAAAAGCATATGGCTGTCCACCAGAGTACAGAAGAAGCATTATTCCGCTGCCATCTTTGCTCCCAAGGTTTCAAGTCAGAAACAGCTTACCGACAGCACCTCAGCCAGCACCGATGCGGCAGTATTCCTATGGACCGTCCCGGATTCTCTGAATTCTCCCAAATTCAGATTCCATTGTCTAAGAGAAAAGCTCCTGAGGATTTTACAGTAGATGACCATTCAGTTGTAGGACAGACAGGCCACAGCAAATACACTTGTAAGGTTTGTGGAAAATGCTTCTCCCATACTAGTGAGTTTAACTACCACAGGCGCATACATACTGGAGAAAAGCCTTATCAGTGCAAAGTGTGTCTTAAGTTCTTCCGAGGCCGATCGACCATCAAGTGCCACTTGAAGACACATGCGGGGGCCCTCATGTACAGGTGCACCGTATGTGGACACTACAGCTCCACCTTAAACCTCATGGGTGAACACATAGCGGTGCATAGAGGAAACCTGCCTTCAGACTTCACCATTGACCAAACATTCATGTACACTATCCACTCCAAAGAAACAGACAAGACTGCTGATAGCTGATGGGTTAAATGGGACATAGGGCAGAGGACTGTGAATTTTTTACTATGTTTTGTATTCTGTCCCACCTTAATGTTCCAGTTGAATGCCGTAAGGTATTCCATTGTTTAAAATGTTGCTACTAAATTTTAGTCCTTTTTATATGTGTTATTTTTACGTTCACTTTAATTTCAAGTTGCTTAGGTCTTTATAAACTCACATCTCTGGCAAGAAGTCACAACAGATTCGCCTTTTGCTTTGATTTGTGTGTTGCAACCAAGTTCAAATCTTGCACAAATCAGAAAGTATAACATAATGCATTTACCATCTAAGCAAAATAATAGAGTATGTCTTTCCACCCTACAAAATAATCATTTGTGTTTCATACCTATTTCTATTGAAAAGCAGGTCTGTTCATGTTACAGAACTCTATTTATAACTAAACGTTTTGGGTGACATAAAACATTATTTTTTGGGAGGATTTAGTGCAGCACTTGCAGAACTCTTTTGAAAGCCCTTGGAATATAGGATGAGTATTTAAAGTATATCTAAACCTTAACATTGAACTCTTATTTGGTCCCTTTTGTTCTGTGAAAAGTAATACAGTGAAATTGTTTTGTTGTATCTGTTTTGATAAGTGTGCTAAAAATCTTTCGATCTTGTCAGTAATCTTGTGAGCTGATAACTTCCTGTACTCTTGGCCTTTTCTGTCTGGTGTGTTACATTGTTTTAGTTAGATCTCAGGACTACAGAACCATGTCTCTCTGTTACGAACAATAGACAAGAAAGCAGAGTTCTGTGGTTCTATCTAGTTTCTGTTCTGATTCTTACGGGCAAGTGAGGTTTGTCATCATAGGACAGGAAGTGTGTTGCTGGCAGAATCACTAGGTGAAAAAAAAAAGTGAAAATGTAAGCTAATGCTACCACCTCATCTAAGGACTGGTAAACTGCAATATATCACTTTTTTGTTTTTGGGTATAGATACACTTCAAGGCAGTGGATGAAAATACAACAGACCTTAAAGTGTTTTTCCACTCTTGCAGTCAAATTGGAGAAAATCCCTCTACATGTTCGTTATGTGTTCCTATTCACACAGCATACCGAAAAACTTTTTAAAACCATTTCTTGAAATGCAAAAACCTGCGCTTATGGACTATAAAGAAGAAAAAAAGAGGAAAAACCGGAATGGCTAAAAGCTGCTAAAATTAAGGCGGTGAGCCCTAAGGGTAAATTAATCAGCAGTGTAGCGCTAAAAGCCTCACAGTGTTAACCCAATTAGTGTTATACACACCAAATAAAAAATGTGTCAAACTAAATATTTTATAAATAAAATGCTATAACAATTATTTTCTGTGTAGATGAAATTATTTTTCAAGAGAAAAACTATGTATATGTGAAAACCTACACAACCCGTGACAGGTATATGTATTTAAAATTATATGCCACCTCTGTAAGAAAAATCAAGTGCACAAATCCTTGTGTATAATTATAAATCAGTGAATAGTGTGTAACCTGTCATCACAAAAAATATTAACACCAAAATATTATTATTTGCAACATTAAATGTCATAACAGTGTCAATCCCAAAAAAAGAAGGATTTTCAGAGTTTTTATCTAAAAATCGGGTGTAGGATGGGTCCAATAAATTCAAGCGATGGAACAAATAGTTCTATTAACTTTCCAAACGAAGACCAAAACCGAAGTATAATGTGTCCAATCCAGTGATGTGGTGGGTAAAACGAAAATCCCCTCTAGGGTATGTACTCACCAGACTCAAGATGTTTAAAAGCCCTGTGCAGCACCGAAGTGAAAGTAGCCGCTTGCCGTGTTATCCTCCGTCTTAACGTCCACGAGGTCTTGCAATGTCCTATGTCAGACTCCTGTTCGCCGTCATGGAAAATAAAGCAATACTCCCATAGTGTAGCAAATTGCAGTACTTTATTTAGATAAAAATCGGCAAAAAAATTTTTTACCGCGAAAATAGCAGCCGGTCACTCAAAAATTACTACTATGACTGAAGGAGTGACGTAATAGCAGGATCACCCCCGACACGTTTCGTCGTATAGACGTTTTCATTACTAAGAGGTGTAATATTATTTTAAATACATATACTTGTCACGGGTTGTGTAGATTTTCACATATACATAGTTTTTCTCTTGAAAAATAATTTCATCTACACAGAAAATAATTGTTATAGCATTTTATTTATAAAATATTTAGTTTGACACATTTTTTATTTGGTGTGTATAACACTAATTGGGTTAACACTGTGAGGCTTTTAGCGCTACTCTGCTGATTAATTTAAAACCATTTCTTACCTCCTTTTTAGATGTTTTGTTATTCAGGCAAGACGACTGATTCCAGTGTTTTCTCAACCCTTTCACAGTGATCTGTCCTAATAGAAAGACATAGGACTGACATTTGAGGATTGTGTTTATCTGATAAGCTTTATTAACATAAACAACCACCTTAGACCCCCCACAGCTCTCCTAACATTTCAAATAGAAGCTAGAAGAAATTTTAACCCTTGAAACCCTAATCCATGTAAAAAACTTTTAAACTATAAGAATCATTTTAATTTTTTTTTTGCTTATGCTATGTAAATGGGAGCATGTAACAAATGTAAAATAGGTGTTATTCCCAACTTGCCTGTGAAAGTGGAAATACCCTTTAAAGATGCCATACCTTGTGAACACTAATATAGTAATGATTTTCTGCACTCCATACAAAGCCGAATGCATTCCATTACATTTAGTCCTTAGGTGAATAGTAATTCCAATCAGCACTCAATTACTTACGTTGATATGCCTCAGTACACTATTATACTTTGTCAAGGCTCTGTCTCTGTGATCATTTGGGCGAAGTGATGAATTAATAAACTTGTACAGAGTGGAATGTGTATGTTCCCATTGCTGGCCTCCTCCTAGCAATTGCTAGTTGCCTGGCTGTCTTTCTTACTTACCAAGTCTTTTGTAGTGCTCTCCCTAGGCCCGTGTGCCCAACCAGGCTGCTTTTGGTAGCACCCCCAGCTTCTCAAACTCTGATCATGCCTCGTGCTCCATGAGCTCACCTGTAGGGCTGATTCAGGGTGCCTGTAGGGTGATTCAGGATGGAGAGCAGTCAATCCGTGAACATCTGTTCACCAATTTCCCCTGCATTCATTGAACACAGAAGTGCTCAGTTCAAAGTTGCCAGAATCCCAGCAGGCGCAGCAGATTAGTATACCCCTGCACATCTAAGGTAGAATAATCATTTTAGGGTTATCGTTTAGGTTTATTTCTAAATTATGAGCTGCAACTTTTTCATGGTTTCCAAAGTACACAATTTTGTTAGATTTACTTGCTATTTATTAACTAGTCAGACTTGTCTTTTATATTTAATTTAAAAAAATTAAATTAAATTGAGTTTATGCACATTTATGCAAATGTTTTCTTAATAATTTTACACTTCCTGATTTTGCATCTGATCACGCTTGCGTGATTTAAAACCTCCAGATTTGCATGCTTGGTGTAGGAAGCAGCTTAAGGTATTGAGGTATTAAGGTATTGAAGCCATCAGATCAGCCAGACATGTAGCAGTTCGAGAAGGAGAGGCCAGTAATGCTAACGCTGAGTTGCTGAATCCACTTCCTATGTATTTAGGTTAGGTGTATGCTGAGTCCGAAATAACACATTTACTGTGCTTTTATATTGGGAATTTTTTTCGGATACCAAAACCATTCACGATAATATATTGAGTTCCTAAATCTGGTTCAGAATCACAAATTATAAGAATTCAGAGGGAAGACCTTTACTGCTAAATTTGGCAACAAGCTGCAAGTTACACTTATGTCTGTAGGTTATGTAAAATACATGCTCTAGTGTGTATTAGAACACTGGATACCAGTCATTGCATAACTTACGTTTGGTAGAAAAAATTATTACCTAAAGGGAAACCTATACATACAGAAAACAGAGGCTGTTATTGGTAACCCCTCTTTCAGACTGTTAGCTTCCTGGATGTCATGCCTATTCAGTGGCTTGTATACTTTTAGGCAATAACAAATTTGCTTCTATTTTTAAAGGAAGTACCCAATGGTATCCCCTATAGTACAGGTTTCCATAATTAGGCCTTGTGTATCAGGTTTTTGACTAAAAACTGTCTCTCTCCAAGAAACCGACCAGTGTCTTCTTATGTTCTAACCTAGCAAGGGAAAAACTGAATGGTTACTAGGAGAGACATATACCGTACCTAAGTCAGACACTTCATACATGACTGCTATTTCTGAAAATGTACTGTTTTTGAAGGAATAGCTTTGTATCTGCAGTTTCTGTTGACCGTTCTTTACAAAAGTAATATTTATTTTACATTAGTACCTCAATAAGACCTGCCCGATGTCTAAGCACCATGCACTGAATCTAAAATGAAGGTTTACATTTATTTTAAACAAAAACAAAACCTAGTAGTCATATTTTTAAATATATTTTGACCACATATACTGTATTTTGAAGGGTAGCGAGCAGCGTCTGTGTCTGAAATGGCTGATTCATAGGTCTTTTGCTGCATAGGACCTGGGGCACCAGTCTGGCAAGTTATATCAGCCAGGACTCTGCTGTTAGCCAAACAATTTGGTTACTCTCTCTGGACGTTATTCTCATTTTGTTACCGTGACAAAAACCTTGGTTGCCACCCGGGTCACCAGGATCTTACTAGTTTCCAATTTTGGAGCAGAAGTAGAATGCAGTCCAGAGAAACAGGGTTAAACTCTGATCAATGCCCTTGCTTTCACAGTTGGTGTAAATTCAGAAGGAAATCTCCAGACACAGCAATAAAGGCCCATTTGTAAGTGCTGTTGCATGAAAACCCTGCACTCTGCCTTCATCCACCTAAAATTTAGGAAAAAACTTTGTCTGGTTTTGTTCACTTATGTTACAGGTTTAAAAGTCCCTCTTAACATTTCCATTATCAGTGGCACATCAGTTCTTAAAGGGCTGTTTTTTTTTTTTTTTTTTTAAATTTAACTTTTTGCAAAGTTCACTGTTGCA